TTATGTACAGGGTGAGTTACTATAATTTAACACCCACCTGCAGCCGTAATTACAAGTAATAGGTGAAAGGTGTAGATAAAAAAGTTGTAGCATTTTATCTGAACCGCCAGAATTTTCAATTAGATTGAACAAATTAGTAACGCAAAGTGAAAAAATATGTCGATGTTCACTTTTTTCAAATGGAATGCACTTTATTTTCTTTCAAATTCTTAAAGTTTCCGTTTTTCTGGTTCAGATTATACATAATACCTATGTTAATGTTTCTTTCAATAGTTTTGGAATAATATCTGGAGTTTAGTTATTCAAAGACGTATTCAGGTATCAAAATGTTTTGTGACAAGTGACAGGTAAATCAAGGTAAAATATGTTCAAAAAACTCTAAACTTGAATTATTAAACTCCAGATTTTTCCAAAACTATTGAAAGAAACATTACAATTAAAATATGTAAATATTCTGAATCAGAAAAAAGAGAACTTTAAGAATTTGAAAGAAAATAAAAGACATTCCATTTGAAAAAAGTGAATATCGACATAGTTTTTCAGTTTGTGTTGCTCATTTCTTCAATCTAATTAAAAATTCTGGCGGTTCAGATAAAATGCTACAACTTTTGTATTTACACCTTTTACCTATCACCTGTAATTACGGCTGCATGTGGGTGTCAAAATATGGTGACTCACCCTGTACAGGGTCTGTTCCTTATAATAAGTGCAGCTTCTACAACTTAAACAAAAAAAAAAACAAAAAAATAGGAAAAGAAGTTAAACACAAAAGTTGTAGGGTTTTATCTCTATTATATCTTTTGCTAATGTCATAATGACATAATGACAAACACTTGCATTTTTTAAATGGAACACCCTGTATATTTTTAAGTAGAATGATAGATTTTTTTCCTCCGATTCCAAATATACCATATATGTTGATATTTGGTTCAGCTGTTTTTAAGCTTTTTAAGTTTAAAAATTCATTTACATTAACCTGAGGGTGAGGGTTGCTTAATACAATTTCGAAACAAGTTGTTCCATTTAAAAAATGCAAGTGTTTGTCATTATGACAGTTGGCACCTGTCATTTGCCCATTTTGACATGTGCGAAAGACAATAGAGATAAAACCCTACAACTTTTGTATTTAACTTTTTTTTCTTTTTTTTTTGTCAAGTTGTAGAAGCCGCACTAATTATAAAGAACAAACCCTGTACAACCAAAATGGGACACCCTGTACATGCTAAAAATTAAAATAATATCCATTTTATGGAATATGAAAAAAATTGCCTGATTTTATATACCAAAGTTAAATTACAATATTTCACAGTAATAAAAATTGAAAACCTTTGACCTAATTTTTTAGTATCACCCTGTATCGCTGCGAGGTCGGTGCAATGAAAGAAAATGCTTATTTCGACTTCCAAAATAGTATACTAAACTTTCAACAAAATCTGTCGGTGACTGAAATCCATAAGAAGTGTGAGATGTTCTTGTTTTAGGATCGGAGCGGCAAGGGGGGCAAACTTGAAACCTGTTGATGCTTGGCCCCGCTATAGCATTTTTTGAGAAAAACCCAGGGTTAAACGAAAAAATAAGTTGAAAATATTACCAGCACAGTTTAGCAAACTGAAAGTTGCATTGATTTTTGTTTTGGTATGATAAAATAATCGAATAAACGGGAAGGCTAAAAGTCAAGTTGGCGCTCCCTCAAACTTTTTTGTGGATACCATTGAGTGCAAATCAGCACAGTTCCTAATATTAGTAGCCCAGTAAAGCACAGTTATTTTAATTATTTTCAAAACTGATATCTTTTCAATTGACTATTAGGGGAGAGTGGGGCAACTTCGACATGCGAGGCAAGTTTGTCACCTCGCTTTACTAGGAATCGGTTGGATTCGGAAATTCCGAAACTGGCTTGAGGCAGTTAGTTGCTCCTTAAGTCTGGAGAAGGTAGCTACGAGTTTTTAAATTTCTGATCTAAGGATTGGCTATTACTTTAATAATACTTTCGTTCCGTTAGAGCGTTCTATTTCGCAGTTAATTTTTACAGAGTGACTTTGACCCATCTTTTGTAGAAATATTTAGTTGAAATGTCCCCATTTGTACCTGGAAAAAAACTCTCCTCAGTAGGAAAAGTAAAGGAATAGAACAAAATTTGCAAGAGCATGGAAAACCTCATAATAGAAGTGCAACATCCAACGCATCAGGATGCTGAGATATTCAAATATTTTCAAATCCAATTTCTGTGATTTCAATAATGCCTCCATAGGCTTGATCGCTCACCGAACCTTACACTCATGGATCTTTCCATATGTGGTTTAGTGAAGGATCAATAAGCGTATGAAACCACGTCGTCAAAATGATTATAAATAGAAAAGCTACATTGTTATACTCTTCATAAACAACATATAGTAAAATAAAAATTTAGGACAGCACCCATCATAACTTACGCAGCTGAACCGAGACCCTGACCCTTCCAGAACACAACAAATGATTCACGGAAACACATTACTCGACAGAATGAGAAGCAAGGACTTCCGACAACAGAGTGATACAAGACATATTAGGCTGGGTAAGACAATTCAGAAAATATTGTCGTAAATACGTAAGCCGAATTGTTGACGAGAGACTTGTAAAAGAAGATAAATTGAATATCTCGTCGGAAAGAGAAAAGGATAAATCACCCAAATGCCGGAAATAAAGTTAGACTACGTCCGAAAAGGATAGAAGGCCCCCGGTATCAAAAATTGCACCAAATCGTTTCTTGGGTATGCAAATAAGGATGTTCCCGGAGATTTATACTCACATAGTGTACGGATATGCCAAAAGAAGTCCATATTATAATAACTTCGTTAATCTTTCGAAAATGACTCGGTCGTCTGGTTCTGATGGTTTTCCTCGAAACCAATCCTTAGGTAACATCCTATCCTTAATATGACGTACCACCAAGTGATAAGTGATGAACGAAGCCATGACTACTGTAGAAATGCGTCGACAAACCAGGAGAGAAGCTCCCCTTCACCAAATTTCCGAAATCTAAAAGTCTAACAAATCCAAATGCAAATGAGTCAAGGAATATAAAAATCATGTGCCTATTGATAATAGTACCTATATTATATTATAAGGATTAAAAGAGATGAGCTTTTATTCCGCATGATATATACAATTTTTTTTATCTTCAAGCGTTTGGTTATGACGTTTTTACATAACTATTTTTCCAGTATTTGAGTTATGTCATGAGGCTCATAACACAACTATTTTTGGTTATTTGACAAATGTCAAAGGTAAAATGAAGATATACAACGACTAATAAACGAAAATTATTGAAAAAAAAATCTTATTTTTCGCTTTGTAGATAAAAAGTTGTACATCACACGTGCGTTTAAACATGACTACAAAACTCGTGTGATTAGAACGACTCGGTCTAGGACCTCGTCGTTCTAATCTTTCACACTCGTTATTGTAATCATGTTCATAAACGCACTTGTAATGTAAATAACTATTTCCCAACCAAGAAAAATTGAGTTATTAAACAATTTACTTTTAATCCGCCGGATTAAAAGTAGAAAGCAACCAGCATATTTTTCACCGGTACGAGAATCGTTAACTTTTGCACCTGGAAATAGTCTGAAAATGTCAAGTTTTTTTGACGGTTGGGGAAAACCAAATTTGTAGATAATGATTACCCCAAAGGATTCCTAAAATAGGAATCCTAGTTTAAGTATCGATGTATATTAATGTTCTTTAAACTAAGTATGTATTGTAACCGCTATAATAAAAAAGTAATGTTTGATAATCGAATAAATGAATAAAAAAGGTTATCGTTATCGATTCCACACTGTACTGGCGAGATGCGAGAATACCGAAACGTGTCTGTAGGTCCAGGGTGCCAGTTTGCCATGACTTGACTCTCATATTTGAGGTAACGGTATAACTAGAACGGAATTGGTGGCATTGGTGCAATGTCTGGCACCGACTGACCCGTAAAACATTTTCTCGGAGATTTTTATTGAGAGGAAATGGGGAACCACTGGTCTAAAAACTAGTATTGGTTTTAGTTGTGGATCTTACACCGTATGATACCTACACCATTACCATCCTTTCTCGACAATGACTGGAGATATCTGAAGGAAGTTAATAGGAGAATTTAATTAAATCACATTTTCAAAGTTGGAATCCGAAAATGCAGTGCTTCATTTGAAAAAACAAAACTTTGGCTATCCTGTATATGTATTGAGAAATAATTTAAGATTGTAGTATGAACTCATGTTAGTAAAATGGATCTAAGGTCTTCCTGTGCTAACTTCAGGACGCATTCTGGTATCTGGAGTAGCACCTACCAGGCGAACCCGTCAAACAGACGGTAACCATGAATTTACTGTCAAACTAGAGGCACCAAGAACCTCATTATATCAGAATTCATATCTCTGGAGAACAGCATCGCTGTGGAATAAACTCCCTGCGACGGTTTTCCCTGCAGGTTACAACCTGAACCGTTTCAAGACCAACATACACCGACATTTCCGCGCACTTGCCGCTTCTCGAGCGTGATAGGACATTTCCTTGCGAGTGCGCATATCCGTAAAAAAAAAAAAAAAAAAAAAAAAAAAAAAAAAAAATTACTTGGTACTTGAAGGGCCCCACACACTACGTTATTTCTCGTCGGTTTTCATCGCCGCGATGAAACACGTCGTGTTTCATCGTCAGCCTGTTTTTACCACACACTACGCGAGTTTTTGGCAGTTGGACCCACATACAACGGTTTTGGAACGTATTGTTGAACCATCGTGCCAAAAATCAAGTTCGGACCTAATTTTAAACCGACGATGAAACGCGACGGTTTTCTACCACACACTTCGGTTGCAGATCGTCGTGTTTCATCCCGGGGATGAAAACCGTTGAGAAACAACGTAGTGTGTGGGGCGCTTTTGTGCGTCCCGAAGTTAGCGGTTATGATACCTATCAATTTTTGTTAAACTGGTGAAATTTTGAAAACAAAGTAATATATTATGTTTCAGAATCCAATTATCCATTGGGCTCGCGATCACCGGACACATCACAAATTCACCGAGACGGACGCCGATCCTCATGACCCCAGACGAGGACTTTTCTTTGCCCACATGGGATGGGCGATGCTCAAAAAGAAACGTGAAGTACTCGAAAAGGGCAGGGGTATAGACCAATCAGATTTACATGCCGATCCGATACTCAAATGGCAAGAGAGATACTACATGTGGTTCATGCCTCTGGGAACCTTTATTCTTCCAACCGTTGTGCCTATGTACTTTTGGAATGAAACCTTGACTAATGCTTATTGTGTCAACATTCTACGATATTTGGTGTGTCTTCATATGCATGGTTTAGTTAATTCGGTGGCGCATACTTATGGGGACCGACCTTATGACAAGTAAGTTATTGAACTTGTCTGGTTACCTAGACATCAATTATTACGCAATCTGTAGGTCATTTACTTTTTCCTTGCTTATAAAGTCAGCAGATTTCAAACGCTTAATATGTAGATATAATATCGATAAGGAATTTAGAATTTGGTATGATTTTATCAATTGAATATGGCGATAACGCCATATTTTGTTTGTTAGCAAATAAAATAAAATTGGATGAATAATAATAAGTAATAATGTTTTTTCTTTAGGTTCATCGGGCCTGCAGACGGCTTCAGCGTTTCGGCGCTTACACTTGGCGAAGGCCTGCACAATTTCCACCACACGTTCCCTTGGGACTACCGAAGTGCCGAACTCGGAGTGTTCTGCTTCAATTTCACTAAAAGCTGTATAGACTTTTTTGCTATGATCGGATGGGCCTACGATTTGAAAGCCACCACACAGGATATGATTAGGGCAAGGGCGGCACGTACCGGTGACGGGTCTTCCAAGCATGTTTGGGGCTGGGGCGATAGAGATCAAACAGCTGAAGATCATAAAGGAACCGTCATTATTAATTAGGAGTATTTATTTTTGTCTAAAACCTGATGCTTTCTTGATAAGTGATAAGCTTGTAACTGTGATATTATTATTATAAATGCATTTATAACCTTTATAAATAAATACTATGCCTAACAAAACGTAAACAAAGAATCTCCGCATATTTTTGCTTTTCAAGTCCTAAAAAGTACGTTTTATTTGCTGAAACTAGTGAGAGAAGATTCCTTAACAATCATAGAGGTGAGTCACTCAGAAATTTTCCCGATTGTTATTTTTTGACTCAAAAAAGGGAAATAAACCCTGAAATTATTTCTGAAAATTGACCTTTGGACTCTACCTGACTTTGCCGCATTCGAAAAATCCGAACGATGGCGACCCCCACCTGCAATTCCTGCGACGAGAAACTACTGGGCAAGCAAACCAACGACGCTGCCGCGGTTGTTGTTTGCAGTGACTGTTTCACACGGAACCACAAAGCATGCTGTACGGCTGAGAGAAACGCTCTTTTCCCGCCCTGCGATATTTGGCGATGTATTAAATGTGTTAAGGGGACATTAAACGGCGCGTGAACTGGTACTCCACACGCCGTGTGAAGGGTCTGGCGCGGCAAATTTCGCGCCGCGCGTCTGTTCCCGTCGATGAGCGGTAAATTTGGCACACTTCAAAGGAAACGCGCCGCGCGTGTTGGAGCGACTCGGGGAGTACAGTCACACGGCGAGTGGAGCGAACGGGAGCGGGAAGTTCACCAATAACAAATATTTTTTTTATAATTCTTGATATTACTGGTATAAAGATGTTGTGGGAGAAGGCCTCAACAGGCAGTGGGAGAAGGCCTCAACAGGCAGTGCGCGAACTTTCATCGAGAGGCGCAAACTTGTCAGTTCACAGGCCGTCTGACTGCGACCACACTCCACGGGCTTGGCTTGCCAGTTCACACTTCACGCGCCAGGCGCGCCGCTCCACACGCCGTGTAATGGCCCCTTTAGTCTAACACGTTCGCGGGCGGTACCGAAAAACGACTCGAGTTTAGCGCCGCTCAACACTAGTCATTTTGAAGCCCTCATGGCTAAAATGAATCTCATGTCTCAGGGCATTGCTTTATCCCTCTCATCTCATGAAACGCTAATTACGCAATGCAGGGAAGATGTTAATTGTCTCCGTGTAGAAAACAAGACTCTCCAAGATAAAGTCTGCCTGCTGGAACAACAAATGCATTCAAATGCCACTACCTTAGTCCAAGAGATAGCATCGGAATCTCAAGAACGCATTACACGTGAAAAAAATGTGCTGATTATGGGTCTTCCAGAAAGCTCCAATCTGGAGGAAGATAAAACACGCATTAACTCTTTAATAAAACTTACCAACCCGTCCTTAGATCTGAAATATCTTAAAATAATGCGCCTTGGCAAGGAGAAATCCCTTAATAAAGAAAGGCCCATTAAACTTGAACTTAACACAAAAGAGTCAGCTATGCACCTAATTAAAACACAAAATCTGATTAAACAAAACCAGCACTTTACTTCAGTTTCCATAAAATCTGATCAAACTAAAATACAACTTAACTACCTAAAAACACTTCAAGAATAGCTGGAATCTCGAAAAGAAAAACGAAGAAATTAACATTACAATCAAATACATCAAGGGCTGTCCGAAAATCGTACTCGTAGATGACAAAAACGTCAAAAAAAGAAATCGTGATGAGCAGATTTCACCAAGGGGAAACTACAAAGCTTCAAAAAACTAATGCAAACTGTATTCTGGAACTGCCAAGGCTTCAAAAACACAGAAGAACTAATGGAAAACTTACCCCTCGATTATCTTGGAGTCCTCTGCTTGTCCGAAACATGGCTTCAAAAAACCCCTACAAACCACCCTGAGCAACTTCAAAACTTTAACGCGTTTTTTTCCGATGGAGTTAAAGTTAAGGACAAAGGACGAGCAAGTGGAGGCCTGGCAGTATATGTTCACAAAATGTATCAATCTGTATTAATTGAAAAATGTAATTTTTGGATAGCGTGTCTAATTTCTTCTAAATATCTCTCTATTATTCTTAAAAAAACATATTTTAAACCAGATCTACACTTAGAATATGTTTTACAAACCTTTCAACAAACCCTCTCTGAAATATCTGTACAGTACGCAAATATACCAACTTTAATTGGTGGAGATTTCAACTGCAGGGTGGGCGACAAGGGTTATACTGATAACAATTTCCTTAATGGATCAAATCTTTTTGAATTACGAAACAGTCTTGATAAAACGTTGAAACCAAAAGGACTTGAGCTTTTAAACTTTATGTACAGTAATTCCCTGACTCTTCTAAATGGTTGAACTAAATCAGACCACCCTGGTTCTTTAACATTTTGCGGCCACAATGGTACGAGTGTCATTGATTTGGTGTGGTTCTCAAATTTGTTCCTCTCCACAGTTGTTGATCTTAAAATCCTAAATAACTTCACCACCCCCTCCTACCACTTTCCGGTTTCCGTGGAAATGGTAGTAAACCCTCAGGGAACGACCAACTCAGCTGGTTCTGTGACCACCCATTCACAGGCGACTGTGGAGACACAACCACAACCACTGGTCCAACTGAAATGGAATAGCAACTTAGCAAGTCAGTACCGGCAGTGTATGGTTTTGAATGGTCAGGTAGTATTTTATGACAGCCCAAATGACTCCTATCAGCATCTTTGTCAAACAATAAACCAGGCAGCTTTGCAAATCGGTATGACAAAAACAAATACTTTTAAATCACGGTCAAAAGCCCCTTCAAAACCTTGGTTTGATAGGGAGTAATATGATGCCAAAAAATATACCAATTCATGTCTAAAACTATGTAAAAAAAACCACTTTCAATTGCAACAGAAATCAGACTACCTTAGCGCAAAAAAAACTTTACAACCAACTTATCAAAATTTGAAAAAATAACTTTGAAAAAGAAATTACCGATAAATTAAGCAATACAAAAAATCAAAAAGACTTTTGGCAAACTTTAAAACAAATTAAGGGATCGCAGGTTAATTCTCCCCTTTCTGTTGAGTCATGGGAATATTATTATGATCAAATAATACAAAATTATTTGTCCGGCAATCACCCCATAACGTTTTTTGATGCTCGTTCCTCTCTTTTGGACTGTGATATCTCTATGTTGGAACTCGATAGGGCCTTAAAACATTGCAAAAAAGGGAAGGCCCCTGGGTCCGATGGTACAGCTTATGAATTTTTGCAATCTTTGCCCAATAACTGGCGTCTTTACATCAACTGTTTTTTAAACAAAATACTAGAAACTGAGATTATCCCAGAAGAGTGGTCAAAAATAATTTTAACAATGCTTCACAAAAAAAAATTCAAAATACAATTGGCTAAACCACATTAAATCAATTTTTATGACACTTGACCAAGAGCAGCTGTGGCAGAATCTTACGCTACATCGTTTAAGAACATCCAAACACGTTATCTTATTAAAATATGAAAACTATCTCCGAAACAAGGATTTTGAAAGCTTATATAATTCGCAATATGCAAAATTTTAAATTTTTTTTAATTTGGGCACTATTCCACAATCATATCTTCTTTCAAATATGCCAATTCAATTTACAAGAATTATATCTAGGGGCCAACCAGAAAATTATCGAGGAATAGCGCTAATAAACTGTATAGCAAAAATTTTTACTTTGATTTTGTCTTTTAGGCTGGATGATTGGTGCGAGGGGGTACAAGCTGTCCCCGAATTTCAATCGGGTTTTAGAAGGGGGCGAGGGTGCGCAGATAACGTATTTGTGCTGATGTCTGCCATTCATGTCTGTCAGTCATGCAACTTCGAGGGGGGGTAAAGTTTTTGCGGCATTTGTAGACTTTAAAAGAGCCTTTGACTCCATTAAGCATAATTTGTTATGGCGGAAACTCTACTCCCTTGGAGTGAGTTCCAAGTTTCTAAGAATTTTAAACAATATTTACACCAAAGCATGCTTTAAAGTCAGATCGGAAGGTAAATTCACTAAAGAATATCAAATCAAAGAGGGTGTTTTACAGGGTGAAATATTAAGCCCCACACTTTTCTCCTTATTTATTTCAGATCTGGAAGATTTTTTTAGATTGAATGGAGCTTCGGGTGTTGGTCTGGGTGCTGCCTGCGACCTAATACTACTGGCTTACGCCGACGACCTTGTTGTCTTGGGAATATCTGAATTCGATCTCGCCAGAAAACTAAAAATTCTTGAAGATTATGTGACCCAAAATGGCCTAACAGTCAATACAACCAAGACCAAGGTCGTTTGTTTTTCTAGGGGTGGTAACAGAGTCCCCAGAGCAAGGTTTTTGCTATGTGACCAACCAATTGAACAAGTCTCACACTTTGAATACTTGGGGGTAAAGTTTTCCTGCTCGGCTCTATTTAGACAAATGGCGAACTCTGCAACCCTAAGTGCAAAAAGGTCAACGGGTGCTGTCATGGACCTTATGTGTAGATCCAAAATAAACGCATAGTCATCTCGCATAAGGCTCTTTGACACGATTGTTCTAAACTCAATTAATCACTGCATCCCACTCTGGGGTCTCTGTTACTATGATATGGTGGAGCAAGTGCAAACAAGTTTTTTTAAAACATTACTTTATCTCCCTAGATCGACCCCATCATGGCTTATTAGAATTAAAACCGGATGCCTCCCTCTTCAATTTACCATTTTTAAGGCCTATATCAGTTGGTTAGAAAAAATTTTATCCATGCCCAACACCAGATATCCAAAAATTTGCTACAACAGACTTCTTCTTTTCCATGAGGAAAATTCAAAATACAATTGGCTAAACCACATTAAATCAATTTTTATGACACTTGACCAAGAGCAGCTGTGGCAGAATCTTACGCTACATCGTTTAAGAACATCCAAACACGTTATCTTATTAAAATATGAAAACTATCTCCGAAACAAGGATTTTGAAAGCTTATATAATTCGCAATATGCAAAATTTTAATTGTTTTTTAATTTGGGCACTATTCCACAATCATATCTTCTTTCAAATATGCCAATTCAATTTACAAGAATTATATCTCAGTTACGCCTAGCGTCGAAGTATATAATAACTTTTTATTTTAACAGAATCGCCTATAAGCTTGATCAAAAGTTAATTTGTACTATTTGCAATTTACAACAATTGGAAACCATCAGCCATGTTTTATTTGAGTGCCCAATTTATGAAAGCCTCCGTACTCCTGCTATAAAACAGATATTTCAAACAGAAGCAGATTTTGTTAATACAATGGATAAAAAAATGGCATACAATGTTGCCAAACAAATTTCACACTTTGTTATAAACATTTTAATGTTAAGATATTTCATAATAAATGAATAATAGAGGATATTAGGCTATTAATGTACGAATACTTTAGGATCTTTAATATATATATATTTTTTTTTCCTTAGGAGTTTACTTTTATTTACCTAAAATGTTAAAATTGTACCTAACTTTCTGTCTATATGAATGTAATTTTCAAGAAAAGACAATAAAGAAATGAATGAATGAATGAATGAAATAAATACTATGCTTAAGAAGTAACTGAAGACTGAATGCTAGCCATGCTTCCATTTACCATTAAACGTAGAAGTACATTTCCTAGAAGCATAGGTATAGTCTGGCAAGTGGTAACTTGATAGAGACGAAAAGTGGGGCGTAAAGAATATTCACTGACACCTCAACTGACATGGCCTGATGACAACCATGTCTTTGGGCTCAGTGGTACCAAAAAAAAAAGTCACCAACTTATTTATTATTGTTTATTTACAACCACATACGTAATGTTGACATTTCTGACTCTTCAAGAGTTTGAAAGTGGCACTTTTTTGAATTTTACTTTTCTCCCGGGTAGAAAGTGCTCGTTTTCCACCCGGGTGGAAAGTAAGCCCCCATTTCCTAAAATGTTGAAGACAAGTCCTGCATGTCCAACGTTTTTTTAGATAAAACTTACTTTTCATGCATCCGTTTTTCCGACAATCCGTTAATCGGGAAGTATTCCTATTGGTCCAATATTTTGGCGCCAAGATATTGGATCAATAGGAATACTCCCGGATCAACGGACTGACAGAAAAACGGGTGCATGAAAAGTAAGCTTAAGTCAGAACTTGTCAACAAATTTTTTAAATTTTTATTTAATATTTAGTCAAAATTTGTGATGGTCCTGTTGTAAATAAAATAGTATACAAACCTCGATAGGAAATTTCATTCCTGTCTCGAGATAATAGTTAACTTCGACGCTTCGCGTCTTAGTCAACCAACTAATCTCTCGACAGTAATGAAACACTTCCCACCTAGGTATGTAATATACTATTCCGTCAAGTTTGACAAAGCAGCCAATTCTATTGTAGTTCGCCGTTTGACTAGCCAGACATTTGCCGTCTTCGTTTTTGTCATCTTTTGCGTCGATTTTGACAGGCACGTGTCTGGATCAAACAGTTTCAATTTACAAATCACGTGCCAGTCAAAATTTCGGAGCAAATCGATGAAAAAGATGCCAAAAACGAACACCGCTACATATATCAACTGAGAAAAAAATAAAATAGGAACTTCAGCTACTGTCATAAACTTCTGCATCAACTTTTTCAAATTTTCTCAGTGCAATAGCATTGCCTGTTACCAACTTATAGGAACGATCCTCTTCATTTACAACGGTAAAAATATTTTTGGGAACTTTTCGCACCCGATCTAGAAAATTTACATTATAGCTCACAGAACAACCCTCTAGTCTCTTTGCAGAATTTCCAAGAATTCTATTCGCTCGAAGATCTTGATATACAGTGCAATCGTATTTGTGTAACTTTGGCTACATCCATTCTCATGAGTCAAACTTTTGCAATCTTTACAGAACCCTGGTTAAA